ACATGGTCCATTTAAAGAGATACTCCTCGTAGCACAGAGCAGGCTGGACTGAAAGTTGTTGGGTTAGCTGCCTGAAGGTTTAGGAGTTTTCAGAATAGTCCTGGCCACAGATGGGTGACCGTAGGAACACAGAGGGTTGTGTGTGTGTGTGCCAAAAATCCATTTCTTAAAAAATATTTTATTGTATGTATATGATGTGTGAGGGTGGGTGTGCACGTGTGGTGGTCAGAGGATGACTTTTTGAAATTGAGTCTCTCCTCCCATTATGGGCTCTGAGATCAAACTCAGGTCATCAGACTGTGACATAAATGCTTTTACCTGCTGAGCCATCTTGACATGCTACACAATTTCTTAATTGCCACAGCGTTTGGACTGGTAACTTACTCAAGATTACAGAGGTCCTAAGTCCTCGGTATCTGTAGGTAAAAGGGCAAGTGGAGTTGAGTAGAGCAGCAGGCTGGGCCCTGGGACAGACCAAGTACAACTTCTTAAGACACAGGACTCCTGCTCGGGATCCCAGAGTAATCAATAGGCTTCACTTAGGATAAAACATACATTCATTGGTCACTGTCCTGGGACGAACATATGCTGCTAAGAGCAACTAAAATTCTCTAATAGACATGAAATTTTGACTAAAGAAGACATTTCTCTCAGCAAAGTGCAGTGAAGATTTATCAGTCATAACACACAGGAAAATCATCTTGTTAGAAGTATCACTTATTGGGTTGGAGATTTACCTCTACACACGTCTACCTCAAACAGTGTTCTGTGTTAAACACATTATTTTACTGTTGATTTCCTGGGCCACTTTCAGTCAATCCATTTAACCATTTTAGCTTCATCTGCAAAATAACTGGGCATAGACCGTATGGTTTCCAAAGGCCCCATCAGTTCTAAAATAAGTACAGAGACAATATGTAATTGTGTTATTATGGCAGTAAGCCACACCCCTACTCTTTCCGAAGAAGCTTTAAAAGGTCGAATAATTATTAAGGACTCCTGCTTCACATCTGACTTCCATCTAAGACCATGATGTGTGAGCATTTACCCAGTGGACTGTACAGTCCTGGACCATCTGGGAAGATGCTCACAGTCGACAAACAGAAAGTTGGACTGAGGATTGAGACACTCTGTCCCCTTGCACTTTTTGGTCTTCAGAACAGCTTGATCTCTTTACTTTGAACTGTCTCATTTGTTTAATTTTCTCGTCAATTTTTTCTCGAAGCATGGTTTTTGGCTCTACAGTTTGGCAGTGTACCGAGACTAGATTAGAACAGACACTCGTTATGAGTGAGCCTCTCCAGCCAGCCCTGGTTTGCTCTCCATCCTCTTCCCCACGGCTTGCTTCCATGCCTTCTAACACAGCTAGGCCAGTCTGGTCTGGTTTTCTCATATCTTTACTGTCCACATCTTTTTTTTTTTCCTTTTTAAAAAACTATTAAAATTTTATTCTATTTTAAAATTTACTTGTGTGTGTTTGTGTGTGTGTGTGTGTGTACTCGTGCGCGTCTGCACATGTGTGCATGTGTGTATGTGCATGTGTTCTAGGAACTGAACTCAGGTCATCTGGCTTGTGTGCTTATCACCTACTGAGCCATCTCAGCAGCCCAAGCTTGCGTGTTTTTCCTCTTTTTTTTTTTTTTTTTTTCCTTTTTTTGAGACAGGGTTTCTCTGTCAGGTTTTCGAGACAGTCCTGGCTATCCTGGAACTTGCTTTGTAGACCAGCCTGGCCTTGAAGTCACACTGAGATCCGCCTGCCTCTGCCTTCCAAGTGCTGGGATTAAAGGCATGCGCCACCACTGCCTGACTACTTACATATTTTTCTAATGTTACACTTTTCAGTGTGTACATTTCTTTCCCTGTCTCTGAATTCTTCCCCCGCTCTGGCTGGCATGTCTCAAATCTCCCTTGCCCTCTGGGTTAGTGGACAACTAATCAGTGAGTGTGTGGTCTTTCTCCATGGATGAAACATCCCACTCCATTGAACTTCCAGGACTTGTTTTTTTGTTTGTTTGTTTGTTCATTTTTTCAAGACAGTGTTTCTCTGTGTCCTGGAACTCACTCTGTAGACAAGACTGGCCCTGAACCCTGAACCCAGATTTGCCTCCTCTGCCCCTCAAGTGCTAGGATTAAAAAGGCATGTACCATCACCATTGAGCCTTTTTTTAAAAAATGATTTATTTATTTTATGTATATGAGCATTTTATCTGCATTTATGCCTTTGTGATAGATGAGGGCATGAGATCCCACTATAGATGGTTGTGAGCCACCATGTGGTTGCTGGGAATTGAACTCAGGACCTCTGGAAGAGCAGCCAGTGCTCTCAACTGCTGAACTATTTCTCCAGCATGACGCTGATTTTCTTACTGTAGGCCAAGACAGCCACAGCACAGTACATGAGGCTCTTGTCTCTGCTTCCTGAGTACTGAGATTACAAGTATACCATGCCTGATTTGTCCAGAACATTTTTGTGGATGTACTTTTCTTGGGCCATTTTACGTTGTTATAGCCTGAGGACTTCATAAAGGAAACAGATTTATTTAGACCCTGGTGTGGAAGGCTCAAGGCCAAGTCTTTGTTATGTGCTTGGCTTTAGTGAGCTCCTTTTAGTGGAGGTCATTACAATGGGGGAGTGGGTAAAAGAATGGTAAGTTGCACACTGATAGCATGGATTCATGCCAGATTCACTTAGAGTAACCCACTCTTCAGCAACTAATCAATTTCTATTCCATTCATGAGCATGGGCAATGGGTCCATTGGCACTAGAGATAAAAGCAGTTGTGGACCACCTGGTGTGTGTGTGTGTGTGTGTGTGTGTGTGTGTGTGTGTGTGTCCGGTGTCCTTGTCCATTGAGGCTTAAATAGAGTGTTGGATTTGCTGGAGCTTGAGTTCCAGGCAGTTGTGAGCTGCCTGATTTGGGTGTTGGTAACTGAACTCTGGTTTTCTGGAAAAGCAGCAGGTGCGAACCATCTCCTCTGCCCCCACATTCTGCTTTTTCCATCAGTGTGTTGAATCTAAACTTGAGTTGTCATGTGTATGCAGTAAGCCACTAAGTCATCTCCCAAGATTCCCTACAGTTCTTGAGACAGGAAGATTTGTATCTTGTCATTTTTGTATTTCCTTTTGGATATCGAACATAGTCCACAAAATTTGACTTGTTTAGAAGAACTCAGGCCCACATTCTTTCCTCCTTTTGGTTCTGCTTATTCACAAGGTGACTTCAGCCATAAAATAGGGAATTCTATAATTAAAACATCACCTTATAGCAAATCAGGTATTAGACCAAACAGTATACAGTTAGTTGCATGCTTGAGCCCAGAACTCACTCCAGTGCTTGGCTTTTAGATGGTATTATCTTTGCTTCCCACAGCTAGGGATCAGCCTGGATCTGGTAGGCATGCATCATGACGGCCAATGTCATTTTGGAGCACAGTTCACGCTGCAGGGAGCCTCACCCCTGATCCATGGACGAAGCAGTAAGTGAACATGAACTAGGGGAAAACATTTGGTATTAGGTTCACAGGACAAGGTTCAGCTGTAGTCAGTTCTTTGGGTCAAATTCAAATCCAAATCCATTTCTGAAACATTTACAAAGCTATTTCTTACATCTTCACAGAGACACTTCTTTGGTTTGTGTTTATGGGTCTATGCCAAATTGCAGTTTACCCAACATTATGATTCATTTATTTGTTTCCTATACACTGTTTGACTTTTCCCACATTTGGCCTTGGCTGAGGACCCCTAGCATATGGTGTACATGGCTAGGCAGTCAGACTTCTTAGTATTTTTGATCTTACTATAAAAAATGAGATTGAAGGTCAGTTCTAATAATAAGCCAGAGACTAGTCATTTATTTTCAGTGAGTATTAATTTTATTTTACTTCTCTTCAGTGATTTCCACTGCATTAATGTTGAGGCAAAATTCAGGTCAAGTAATGTATCATTAATAGTACTTAGTTCATGAATAAGAGTCATACAAAGTAGCACAGGCCCAAAGAATTGGGCCCAGGGAAATGAGGACAGACAGGACTCAAAGCAATTGAAGTCCAAGATATCATCTTCTCTCTGCTCTCTGAAATAGCATCTTTCTTATGACTCACTCAAGACCCAGGTTCTCTGTGACAAGACTTCCTGGGACAATGCTACACACACACACACACACACACACACACACACACACACACACACACACACACACACACGTCTACTCATCCCAGATAGGGGTCCCACAACAGACCAAAGTACATATATCACCAAAGTTCAACTTGGTGAACCAGTGAGTTTTATTGGGGTTGCTTACAGGAATATGGATGAGGGGTTACTTCTGGAAGCAGAAATGACTCAAAGACAGCTGTATCACCAAAGCCCACCCAAGCATGGGTGACAGCTCACAAAGCTGGGAACCTGGAACACACTGCACAGGCTGCACACAGCTCAACAGGCTGGAGAGTGTTCCTTCCAGGTAGATCAGTTGACGTAAGCTTCTTCCAGGTTGATCCACCAGTTTCTGCTTCTTCCTGGCAGCTGGGACTTTCTGTTTTCTTTGCAGCTTGGCTCATCTCAGCAATCTTTATTGCTTACTCCCTCTGAGAGGGAGGGGCCTAGTGAATCTGGTCAGTTTCAGTGACTTCCTGAAGCTATTTTGAGTTGTTCACCTTCTATCTTAAGGAGCTTCCCTGGAAGATGGAGTGTTCATAGCTTAAGGAAACTGCTACAGAGCACCAGGCTGGGCAAACACAGGCCTTTCATATAGGGCAGGGGCGTGAGTCTTAACTGTTGGTTCTCCAATGGCTACTTCTGTGTGGCATTTTTTTTTCACGGGGGAGGTGTGTTTTCAAAACAGAGGTTCTCTGTGTAGCCCTGGATGTCCTGGAATTGTAGGCCAGGCTGGCCTTGAACTCAGAGATCCACCTGCCTTTGCCTCCTGAGTGCTGGGATTAAAGGCGTCCACCACCACCACCACCACCACCACCACCTGCTTCTTTGTGGCAGTCTTACCTCTAGAGTAATGTTCTGTTGATAGGAGCCTGTTCCAAAGACTTCTGTCCATTCCTCTACTAACTCATTCATTCTTCAAATATTAATTGATGTCATCATGTGTAGGAACAAGAGAAGAAAAATGAGTAGGCCACAGAGATTTTTGTGTGGGTGGGAGGACCAAAATAGACAGATGGTTAAAACTCCGAGTGTGACAAGTATCATGAAAGAGCTTTATTAACGAGGCTGCCAAAAAGCAGGTGGCAATTTCAGAGAGAGGAATGTCATAAAAAACCATGACGAGAGAGTATACGCAGGGGAAAATGGTGACAATGTATGCCTCACTGAGGACAAGCAGAAGAAAAACAGTGTTGAGAGCAGACACCTCTCCCAGAGTAAATGCCTTCAACTATCTAGTAGTCAGGAACGAAGTGGAGGATCTTTGCACTCCTGTCTCATTGTGTAAAAGCTATTGAGAAATTGAGCCCCTAAGCTAGTATTTGATAGAGAAATGAATGACAGTGAACTGGGAACCTGGGGCACTGCCCGGGACGAGCTGGCATGACTCTCGGTTGTTGCAGGGTCCTTGAGATTAGAGATGGGGTACCTTGACGCAGACACTAAAAGAGGAGATAAGAAGATGGCAGAACAATGTCACCTATTGGGTAATTTAGGGAAGAGCAGGACTGGATTTTAGTGTCATTAATCAGAGGGAAGTCATACTTTAAGCCTGGTGTAGTCATAGAGACAGACTAAGCATGTGTCCAGCTTTAGAACTGTGACCATGACTGAGCTCCTGAATTCTAGTCACTCCCATCCTGTACTGCAGCCCCAAAGCACAGTCTTCGTTTAGTTTGGGGTACCTCTGCACCCTCTTCCTTGACCTTCAGAGTTTAGCACAAGGGCCCTCTGCTTCAGGTTGCTCCACTTGTCTTGTATCCTTGTTCCAAGCTCCCTCAGTAATGAGCACACCCCTCTTGTTGGAATAGCATTCAGGCTACCAAGCATTCTCTCTACTTTTCAGAGCTGTACTAGGTCATGAGTTCTCTGAGGGTGGAACTGCCTTCCGTCTCCCATGAATCAATCAAAGACTAAAGTGCTGTCAATACATTCCATGGGTGGATAGATGAATGATTGATTCCAATAAAAGTTTTCATTTTCTTTGTGAATACAGACCTCAGGAAGTGAATGTTCAGAAAAAATGCTGCGTATACTTTAAAATAGTGGCAAACCATGGGTTTGGTCTAACCCAAGGCTAGCTGGCCTTTTGTAGCATTTATTTATTTGTTTGTTTGTTTATTTATTATTATTTTATTTTATTTTTTGGTTTTTCAAGACAGGGGTTCTCTTCCCTGGCTGTCCTGGAACTCACTTTTTAGACAAGGCTCTCTTTGAACTCACAGAGATCGGCCTGCCTCTGCCTCCCGAGTGCTGGGATTAAAGGCGGTAGCTTTAGGTTTCTGCTCACACATCACTGTCGTTCTGTTAAACTTTTACACAAGAGGCAGGCTTCAGAGATATAGACAGAGGAACAAGTGAATTAACAAGATTCAGTATAAGAGCCAGGGCTAGCCTCTTCTAGATCACTTTCTGGCTCCTGATTAAGCAGCTTGATGGGTTGCTTATCTCCATAGGCTTCCTGGCTCCTGGTCTCCAGGCTTTGCCTTTTGTACCTAGCCTACACACAGTTATTTTTTCTTGAAAAAAATTAATTGCTGTATATGGTGGTATATATCCTGTAATCTCAGCACTTGGGAAGCTGAAACCGGAAGACTGCCATGAGTTACAGACCAGCCTGGGCTAGAGAGTGAATCCCTGTGTCAACACACACACACACACACACACACACACACACACACACACACACACACACACACACAAATGCACTCACGCATGCACACATATGCACATGAACAGATCAATCATACCGCTCCCTTGTTGCCTCCAGAGCAAAGCCTGACTCTTTAGCAGGTTAGGTCTTCGGGGAACGCCCTGTGACTAATTATATTCGGTTGTGTTACTGATACGCAGCTGCTCCATGCCCCTCCTCCCCCCACGAGCTTTCACTCTTCGGTGCTTTTTCTTCATGCTCTTAGGGGAATCACAACAACTTCCCACATTCATTCCAGCTGGTAAATTCCTGCCTGGTCATCGTTTAAAACCCAGTCATCAGAATCCAAGAGTTGCTTCTTCAGCAAGGCCTCCCTAGCCTGACTCCTTCAGATGTGTGACTACCGCCTCCGCCCTTCTCCTGGAGCATCTTCGCTGGTTTTTCTCACTCATAACCCTGATGGAAACAATTTGCTTACTCGCCCATCTGTCTCCGTTGCAAAAGCATGGGCTTCTTTAGTCCAAAGGCCATTCACTATCAATATGTTAGCACTGAGGAGGTCCTCCAGTAGATGTCTGGAACAAGTCAAGTGAGCTATATCGAATTTAAACGTACTGTCCCTCAACTTTGACTGTTAGTCACCTCCCTCCAAATGGAATGTGACAATGACTAACTGAACACTGCCCTTCATGTTTTGTAATGTTGTGCGGTTTTCATCTCTGACTTGCAAACCTGGCATTCTTACCACTATTATAGATAGAGAGCTAAAGCTGAAAGTGGGTAGGTATCTTTTCTTTTTGACAAAATTCTTTTTTCCATTTATTTTATTTTATATGTATGAGTGTTTGGCCAGCATGTATATATATATGTGCCCGGTGCCAGTGAAGGTCAGAACAGGGCATAGGATCCTCTGGAACTGGAGTTAAAGATGGTTTTGAGCCACCACGTAGGTGCTAGGAATCAAACCTGGGTCTTCTGCAAGAGCAAGTGCTCTAAACCACAGAGCCCCCTTTCCAGCCCCAGTATTATCGTTTCTAAGCATAGTAGGTGGGAAAGCAGTATTTAAGTGGAAGCCTCTCAAACATTTAAGCCAATGACCATCTCACAATACCCCAAACCTGGACCTACGAGGTTCTTACTTGGCTTCTCCAAACTACATTGGCTAGGATGATGAACATCAGGCTTGTTTTTGGCCTGACCACTTCCACTGCATAATTGTGAAACCTTGGACAATCCAATCTACATATTGGTTGGGACACACAAAAACAGAACCCAGAGCTTCTTCCTGGCTGGAAGTTGTGTCTTCGAGCATGTGAATCAGCACTCCATGTCCTGGGATCAGATGGAGATTCCTCTCACTGTTCATGGGTTTGTCCTGATATCCAGCCAACAACAGTCTGCTCCATGGCTCCCTGGAGAATGTGAAACTGCTGGCTCCTGAAATGTTTTTCTAGTCACTGAGCCCTCAAGGTGAAAGGTCTCTTGGAGGGATGAGAACAGACCAAATTTACCCAACTCGACATGGCGTCAGACAGCCCTGAGCCACATTCCATTATGGCCCACAGAGCAGCTGAGGCTTACCCCATGTCTGCCTCCTCAGAATACCTGCCCTCCAAGGGCAGAGGTCTCTAGCCCCACCGTGCAGCTGCAGAATGGAAAACTCTTACGTCAGGGCTCCCTTTAGACTGGAGATTGGATGGGGCCCTGACGGGTTTCCTCTCACGCTCTCTGCACCTGCTGGTGAGCTTTCAGCTTACAACAGAGAAGAGAGGCTCACAGAAGGGTAGATGTTCTTGTCCCGAGAAGCAGAACAGAAGAGACAGCCAGAAGGGGAAAGAATGTGTATCTGCTTGTGAACACCTACTATGTGATAGCCATTTAAAATAGGCCTTCTTAGGCCAGGGTAAAATCAGTTGGTAAAACGATTGCCTAGAAAACAGTAACACTGCACCCTGACCACAAAGCCAGCCATGGTGGCAAAGGCTTATAATCCAGTGCTGGAGAAGTAGAGACAGGAAGATCCTTGGGAGCTCTTGGGCCAGTGAACTCACCAGGCCAGTGAGAGGTCCTATCTCAAAAGCACCAAGTGGGGGCCAGAGAGATTGCTCAATGGTTAGCACGCTTGCTGCTTTTGCAGAGGACCACAGTTCAATCCGCAGCACCCACACTGGGCAACTCACAATTTCCTGTAAGTCCAACTCCAGGGATCCTATGCCTTCTTCTGGCCTCTCTGTGTGTGCACACCTCAACATTTACGTGTACACTCATATACCTGCACACGCAAACACAGGTACACATGTATATATACACACATTAAAAAAAAACTCACTGGGCATGGTGGTGCACACCTTTAAACCCAGCACTCGGGAGCCAGAAGCAGGTGGATCTCTGTGAGTTCAAAGCCAGTCTGGTCTACAAGGTTCCAGGACAGCAAGGTTACATAGAGGGGCCCTGTCTCAAAAACAAAAACCCAAAACCAAACCAAAAACAAAATTTCATCTGATCATTACTATAATCATTTTTCCCATTTAAAGATGTACAAACTGAAGAAGTTTCCAGGCAAAATAGTGTATTTCTTTTTTTAACCAACATAACAATATAAAGCATTGATCATGGTCCCAAGCGTCTGTGACAAGAGCCTAGCATGTAGATGAGATAGAACACAGCCATACAGGTAGCACCTTT